TGGCAGGAGGAGCCGGGGATTGAACCAACAACCTTCCGATTGGGGGACGACCTGCTCTGCTTCTGAGCCACAGCCGCCCCCATGTGATAATCTGTGATAGTCTTTCACTGACTTCACCAGCTCATTTTAGAAAAAAAAATACACTAACATGATTCCCAGTCGTTGTTGTAGCTGCATGTGCACACTGTAGTCTAATAATTTTGTCCATTGCATTGGACTCTGTGCGGTTTTGAATCAATAAATGTTCTGCAGGTGACCTGTGGAGGGCAGAAATGCGTTTTTGTTAAACAAATTACAAGAGGAAGAAGAGAACGCATCTCTTGCTCTGTTATCCACTGCTTTTCACTGCAGTTCGGCAGACTGTAGTAGCTGCATTGTAGATGAATTCGTGATTCTGATGTGGAACTTCCTGGTCAGGTAGTGCTTTTCACAAGAGTCAGAATACGGAATTTGCCAGACTTTTTTCCGCTAAGCCAATACGGAATCTAGTCATCGGGATTTAACATTATTTTGACTGTTCGCAGAGAGGGGATTCCTTAAGGTTACTTGCCGTCAAAGTTAGCTTCTAAGCTAACGTGATTGTTAGGACTCTTGGCTCCAGCCATGTCTGCTTCAGCTGGATGCTCCCCAGCGGGCCAAAGCTCGGGCCTTGGCCCTGGTATGTCTATGTTTCGTTGGCTAGAAGTCCTGGAGAAAGAGTTTGACAAGGCTTTCGTGGACGTTGATCTGCTTCTCGGAGAAATTGATCCAGATCAAGTTGATATTACGTACGAGGGTCGACAGAAGATGACCAGCCTAAGCTCCTGTTTTGCTCAGCTCTGTCACAAAACCCAGACGGTTTTCCAACTCAACCATAAACTAGAGGTTAGTAACTATTGCAACGGGAAACATTACACGTACAATTTAAATGTAACTCTCACTGAGGGTAGTTGTCATTCAGACTGGCCTGTCGAGATCGAAAAGAGATGATGGTAACATTAATTATGACACTCCAGTCCCAGTAGCATATGCCAATTTGGAGTGATACTGTCATTCTTAACTCCACAGGCCCATGTCCCATTGACTTATATCAACTCTTACCATCATATATCTATTCTTATTTTCACACGTTATGACCGCAAGCTCAAATTGTGGCAGTTGCAGCTAGCAGTGCCACTTCCGGTGGCTGGTTTAGCTGCCACAGCTGCAGAGGAGATGAGGTATGAGAGAGGAGCCCAGTACATGCTATTCCGCTATTTGAGGTATCTGCCAGTGAGATGCCGAATATTTTAGTTTATGAATGTTAAGTCATCAATGTTTTATTTCAATATAATACTTTAGGTTTATTTATCAATGTTTTAAGCAAGGCATTCGTACAGTTATAATGTAACATAAAAACTCAGGACAAATACTGTATACAGTAAATACAAAGACTGTGCGTAATGGCAGGAAGAAAATCATATTGCGATTATTTTGACAGATATTGCGATTGCTATATGATTCGCGATTAGATGCAAAGATGTTTGCATGACAAATTAAATTTTCACAAAAAAAACTACTAAAATCATGATGATGTGACATCTTTAGGGGTCTGTACCAAACCAGTGTCCTTGTTTATTAAATACTGCAGCTTTCATACTGAAAGATGGCATACTCACAAAACTTGAAAGGTATGTACGCAAAGTATAAAACTAAAATTGAGCGCACCTGAACGAGCCACTTACCCTGCCTGTGGAGGTGGAAATAAAACATATTTTATTTGATGGGATCACAGTAAAAAAAATGAATTAACAAACAAAACAAGAAAAAACAATATGCACCAACACACCGAGACTGCTGTTTTTCCTCTCACTCATTCTTATGCTCAGTGTGTGTACTGTGCCGCTGAACATCTGTCACTGAGTGGCTCACATTCTTTGGAGGCAGACCATTAAATTAGCAAAATAAAATGATAGAAATTGGCCAAAATAAAAAAACTGTCCAACCCAGGGCATCTCTGCAGAACTAGAGTAGTTCATTGTAATGCTTTGTCACACATTTTGCCTTTATCACAAATTGCAGCTTCCTGCGATTTGCATATTGCAATTTTGATAATATTGCGATTAATTGTGCAGTTTCCATTGCAAGATGAAGTCAGAGTGTGAGGCCCTGCGAAGGGAGTCCTGCTGGGACTCTTCTGTAGTCTTTGAAGCTACCATATTTTTGACTGACCTGACCTAACATATCTGTTTCTGGTTTCCTTCCCCCTTTCCCCCCTCACTTGGTTGCCTCCATTCTTCTACCCATCCTCTCAGGCTCAGCTAGTGGATCTGCGTTCTGAACTGACTGAGGTTAAAGCTGAGCGGGCAGTGGTGGAAAGGGAGGTCCATGACCAGCTTCTGCAGCTTCATGCTCTCCAGCTGCAGCTTCATGCCAAGCAAGGCCAGGCTGAGGAGTCTGACTCCATCAAAGATAAACTGGTAGGTAGGAGGAGGAGATGCTGCAATTTGCCTTTATTTGATAGAAAACGGTATACAGAAAGAAACTGCAGGGAGAGAGACTAGTGAATGACACAAAAACTAAGGACATTTCAGCTATATGGTCCTAAGTAATCCGCTTCAGATTACATTCCTTATTATTTTTAATATTCATATCTTAAATGCTCATGTTTACCGTGTGCCTATACACTGTATTGCATTGACAATTATTTTTGGTTGTTACACATTCTGTCCTCTAGAGCAGTGGTTCTCAACCTTTTTTCAGTGATGTACCCCCTGTGAAATATTTTTTCAGCCAAGTACCCCCTAACCAGCGCAAAGCATTTTTAGTTGAAAAGAAAAAAAAGACTTAAAACAGAGCACTGTGCCATCAGTGTCTAATTTATTAAACTTTGGAACTGATAAACACATACAAAATTCAAACATTTGAAAAAAAACTATTTCGAACATTTTAAATGTTAATAATCCATGACTAAATTTATTGCAAATATTTCTCATCACTAAAATGTAGTGATTCAAACTAATGTAGTGAAAACAGTGACCATATAACCATTTAAAACTATAAAATGAACCATTTAAAACTCCATAAATGTGCAAGACACTGCTCATTTGTAGTGGTCTCTCTTGAAACTATTTGTCAAATAAAAAGATATAACTAAAAAAAAGAGAGAAATAATTTTGTGGCACATAAAAATAATTATCATATATAAAGTGTCCTCTTTTGGGACATAGTAAAGATCTGTTCTTCAAAAAGAAATTCATTAACTTTAAATAAAGCAGAAATTGCTAAAAATAAAAAAAATAAAACATATTTATCCTCTTAAAATATTTTTAAAATCCAAAAAAGAGGACTGACATCTTAACATTACAAACTGTCAACCCCACTGAATATCTGCATTGTTGCACTGAACCGAGTGTTTTTGCACTTAGTGAGAACATTTTAGTGAGACACTTGGCTTGTGCTTGCACTTTGAGATCTTTCCATTCTTGGTGGCAGGGGAGGCAACGCTGTGATCAAGCTCTTCTCCAGGCAAAGTCTGTTTCTCTCTTTGTTTTGATCACAGTTCATAAGTCTCTAGAGTAAGGGAGCAGGTGCACCACCGTACCACTAAATATATGATTGTGTGTGGT